AGGTGCCACAGGACCCTCTGTTGCTTTTTACAGATTCAGACTAACACAGCTACCCCTCTGATACTAGAAATTATAACTTTCTCTCCCATAAGATGCTCATTTTTGAGACTCTTAGACTGCCATCATTTAAGTGCCACAAATCACAGATTTATTTGGAGTGTAGTTTATATATGAGTAGGGTAATGTGACTCTTGTTTATATTATACAGAAATATCATTCTGTCCATAATGACGTTAGGTCACCAGCTAGCACATCTTCACTTATTACTATTATGAAAGAGCAGGTGAAACAGACAATAGAAGAGCGGGAAATGAATAAAAGTGGGAGCACTATGAAACTTGTAAATTGCATTTAATCTCAGATATACCTTTAAAAATCAGTATGCATAAATTTAACCTTCCCCCTTTCCCAGTCACCCCTATGGGGACAGATACAATTAGCCCTGTTAGTAAGTTGTATACTGTTCTAGTGGTCCCTTTATGGGTTCTTAGTAGTTTAAAATACAGGCTGTTTACTACACTCTGATGTTATGCAGTTAAAATTATTATTATTACTTACTATTGCAATACAGCAGTAATACCAAATGCCTCAATGTGTTAGGTATTGTACAAACACACAGGAAGACAGTCTGTTTCCCAAAGAGCTGTGTGTGGGTACAGGGGTTTCCCTGCATTGTGCCAGTGTTGGATTGGAGCTGGATTAGCTATTGCATTCCTTGATGAATTTGAAATAATTTGAAAGCCTTTTGTCTTTTATTAATAATATCGGCTGTCCTCAATGGTGCTCACCCCAGCCAGACATTGGTTGACTGACTTCTTGAGCAGTAGGCAGAACTAATTATCATCCTCTAATTTCTACACAGTGAGACAAAAGGCAGAAGGCTGTTAAAAGACTTACAAACTCTTTCAGATTCAAGCAAAAGACATGTATCACTTATAAAGCCAATAGAAAAACAACTCCTGTCTGTTGTTAAAAGTGAAGAATAAAATACAGAGGGTATGTCTATATCAAATGGTGCGAACAATACACATGAGCATGAAGAATCAGAATAGGGCTGTAAATGTGTTAATCATAGCCAGTTGGCCCATAGTTTATCCTCTTGGGAAGTAAATTATTTCCTTATAGTCAAGTCACCAGTCTGCTATTTTCTTTTCAGTTATGGATGCTGTTCTTTGTGTTTTGATGTTTTAATGTTTAGATAAGTGAATTCATTAAAGGAAGAGATTGAGAGCACTGACATAGCATAGACAAAGTTTTTGTGTAAGCTTTTTGTTTTCATTTTTAATGTCAATAAATATTCATCTGTTATGCTTAGGCAGCCATTTGGATTAGACATTCAGTATAAACAAATGAATTAATAAAATATGTTGTAAGGCTGCTCTGCTAATTCATAATCTTGTTCCTGACCTGCAGCACCCACAGTGTGTCCTGGACACAAATTGTGAATTTGCAGAATTGTGGGTAAGAGTTCTGTAAAACACACAAAAACCCTGAAGGGAATAGTTAAGAGTTGATCACCTTACTCATTTTCAGTTGCAACCCGAGCTAGGGTTTGTAACCTTGTCTCTGGAGGGGAAAATTGGGTGGTTTTCATTTTACTATGGAAGCACTGTATGTGGTGATGCTTTCTGTGTATTGCTTTACTAGTTCTAGATCACTGTTTAAGTAGCAACCCTTGAAAAGTATCCTGAAAGAGGAGTGTACTGCACAGTTTTAAACCAGGAAGTAGTGAATTTAAAAATGTTTTAAAACTTACTTAAAATATTTAAACTTATTAATACAATGGTGCAACTGTAATCTTAACTCTGGTAGTTAACTCTAATCTTTTTGAGAGAGTGTTTAATATCCAGAGTTACGATACAATATACCAGTTAAAGAATTTAGTATCAGTCAAGAATTTTGAATGATAGGCCAGAATTTGGAACTAAAATTTAATTTTCTTTTGTTGATTTGATGTGAATGGAAGACAACTGCATTGCTGCATTTTCCAGAATAATATTTAAACAATAATAGTTTGTTCTAGGAAAAGTTCTACAATGTTAATAACAACTGAAAAAAACTTAATTGCAATATGGACAAGAAGCTGTCTGTATCATCTAGCTAAAAACAGAGGAGTTAGGAGTTTAAGATGAAGACAAAGGCACTGGAGACCCATTCCAGTGCCCGTGAAATCTGTGAGAGTTTTGCCATTGACATCAGTGGGAGCAGGGTAAGGTCCTTGATGCTTTCAGCGGTCACTAGGGACCTGATCCTGTGAGGTTGTCAGTGTCCCCATTGAGGTGCTGAGTGTCGCTTGGGAAGTGCTGAGCACCTCAGTTCCAATGTAGTGGAAGTTAAGGATGCTCCATATGACAAGTGAAAGATTAACAAATAGCCATTATTGTCACTATACATTTCCCTTAATTTTATTTTTAAAACTGTTTCTGTTACATCTCTGTGCCGCTACATTTAATTTTTCTTCCATTATTTTTCTTTCTGCTATTGTTGGGCTGGCAGTTAATTTTAAACTTGAATGAAACTGCCTAGAATGTACCTGCTAGATATTCAGAAGGTCTGCCTGTTTGTGGGTGTGTATATTTAAAATTCATTTAATACAAAGTTTTAGTACAAACTTTAAAATAATGTTAAGTGCAAAGATTTTAGAATTTCTATTCCATAAGATTTTGTAGTCATTATTGCTGGAATAATGACTGGTTATTTAACAAGCCATGATCATGTTCAGTAATGTGTGACTACAGATTTACAGCTTCTACCAGCAGAAAAACTGGGCTTGTCTGGATTCCCACTGAATTCTTAGAAATCTCTTGCCTGCTGTTATTAATCTCTTTCTAGTAGTACCATTTTTTTCCCCACAATAGAAGTATAAAGATTGCAGATTAAAGACCTGATCATGTGGTTTGCTGAATGCCATCTTTTTCAGTGGGGGTTGAGGGCACTGAGCACCTCTTAGAATCTGGGGCATCTCTGTGTAACAGGGTTGAAATAAAAAATACTACTACTAAGCAATCTAGTCTTGTAACGTGCTTTTGTTTTGCAACTGGACTTTAGTGTAAACCACAAGATAACTCCTCTTCTGAGTTAGTGAAGACCAGGATAGAGCGTGTCTGCTGTTTAAAGAAAGAGAATCCTCTCTTCCTCACTCTGCTGCTCACTCACTCTGTGCACTGGGGCGTATGACTTAACTGCTTCTTGCCTCGGTTTCTCTTTCTTTAGTGAGGTTTAATAATACCTATTTCACAGAGGAGCTGTGAGGCTTAATTAATGTGTGTAAAGCATTTTAAGATCCTTGAATGAAAAGTGGAAAATAACATCACTGAATTATGTGTAGCAAACATGGCATTCTGGATAAAGAATGGGAGCCCTACAGCTATCAGCATTGCAGTTCAATCCATTGAATAACTTGGAAATTCTGGCTGGAAGAAAGGTTTAACAACCATTGATGGACCAGGACTGGAGCTAGAAAGCTAGAGAAGGAAGTAGCTGGGAAAGGTCTGCTACAGGAAGCAAGTACTGTTACCTCCTAGCAGCTCTGTAGTTTCTCAGCTGAAAGTCATGTCTCTGTATTGACCACAAATGCAGATAGCAGAAATGTAAAAGTGCAAAAATATTTCTGAGAATAGAGGTGGGTGGGAGGAAATCTGTTAACGAAATCAAGCATATGTTGTTAAACATCATCATCAGATTTATAACACATTGAATTGACTTTTTTGTGGGTAACTGAATATATTTTAATACAACGTAGGACCGACAAGAAAGTTTGTACTTCCAGAAGTGGAGAAAAAAGACAGAGAAGGAATGGGTCTTCACTTTTGAGGATGCCTGACAAACACATAACAGTGGAGTACAAAAGGCCTAATTCTAATTGAATTACAGACTGTGTAATAGTTTAACCTGCACCAGCTGGTGTTATAGAGCTACCATATTTCTTGGTAGCTTCTTTTAAGAATCTTACTATGCCAATTCAACATTATCTTTTTTATCTGTAGGTAAAATACCAAAATGTACAGATCAGTGTTTGACTTTTCATTCAACAGCAGCAACAAAAAATACATGCAGTTTATGTTTGTGTGTATTTGTATTTGATGGTATCCTTCTCCCTTCACATATCACTTATTGTCTTAGGGTATATCTACACTGGAATTAAAATCCTGTGGCTGGCCCATGCCAGCTGACTTGGACTCGGGCTAAAGGGCTGTTTAATTGTGGTGTAGACGTTCGGGCTCGGGCTGAGCCCAGGCTCTAGAACCCTATGAGTTGGGAGGGTCCCAGAGCTTAAGCTGCAGTCTCAACCCGAACATCTACACCGCAGTTAAACAGCCCCTTAGTCCGAGTCAGCTGGCACTGGCCAGCTGCGTGTGTCTAACTGCAGTGTAGACATATCCTTAGATTGTGAGCAAGGACAAAATCTTTGTATGTGTTTGTACTGCCCCCTAGTATAATGGAACTTCTCTCTGGGTTGGGTACTCTGGGTAGCACTGCAATATACAAATTAATTAATAAATTAAAGTTCTGATGCTGAGAATGCTTAGCATCTGCAGTTCCCATTGACATAGTTGCAGGTACCCGATATCTCTCAGGATTAGAAGGCCCTAAAGAAGAAAAGTAAAGTATGGAGGGGAGCTATGTTTGGGGGGCGGTGGTATGTGTTTGAAGTAGCCACAATCCATGGAGTGACTGTTTTACTTGAGTTCACTTGAATCAAACGAGTAAGTTATTCTGTAATTGGTCACCTGAGATTTACTTTGTATCATTTAGAGGCATATTGTCACTTGAACTTTAATTTGCTTCAGACATGCAATTGGCAAACTGTCAACAAAAAAACAAAACTGGTATGACAATTCCTTTTCTGTGTGGAAAGCTGCCATGTTTTTGTATGTTGTTGTTCCGCTTCATCTGTCAATAGCAGACTAGCTAAAAATATGCCTTCCTTTAAGAACATATGGTTTTTATACATTCCTCAACATTTTGTGCTATATTAATCCTAAATATTTTTTACTTTACTTTTGACTGTTTTTAATAGTTCTTTTAAATGTGCAAAAGCCATTGATTTTTTTTTTCAAAAAGGCATAATGATTTTCAGATATGTGTTGGTTTGAAAGGAAACTCTTGTGACACTGTAGCATTAGATTAAGGGTTTCTTGATATTGAGTAACCAGATTTCTGTTTGTGGGAAATTGTATTTTTATGATGTTGGATCATATGACAGATTGAAGGCATTCCACAAGATTATAAGGAAATGATTGTCGCTTAGTCGGATGAATATGTCGTCCTTCCCCCCCCCCCCCTTTTAAAGTTGAATCCAAAGAATAACTTGTTGATCAAAATCAGGTGTATCCCCTCACATCAAAGTGCTAATACATGTTTGTTTTAATGAAAGCTATTCTTGGATGCGTAGATTTATGTTCTTGTTTGCCTGTGTGTTGTGGGGAGGTGTCTATATCTGAGATCAGATCTCTAACACACTAGCATATTTTTTCATATAGCATTGTATAAATCTGAATTTTATCTGCTATAAAACAAATTATGTTAAAGAGAGGTATGCTGGATCTTGCAAAATCAAACACCATAATGTACAGCACAGGCGACCAAAGTAGTCCCTGGATTTCTAAAGCTCCTGTCAATTTTAATATGGTGATGCCACCTGTGGAAATGATGAATATATGTGACATGTCATCATAACCCAAGCAGTTATGCTCCACAAGGATGACAAGTCCCAGCAAGAAATGCTGATATCTGATGGAGCGTTGGATGCTGGGATGCAGTTGTCTTCATAGGCAGGTGGCAGTTGCTCCATTTTGTGCAGATTTAGGGGTAGCTTCAGGACTCAGCTACATAGGACACTTGGAATGAGTGTGTCCCTACTACTATTGTGTTTTTCTTTTGTATAATTTTGGGAATGAACCAATTTGTATTTTATATGCATTTTTCCCTCTCTCTATTTCAGTACTCGGTAACTTCTCTCAAGACTATCCCAGAATTATGTAGAAGGTGTGATTCGCAAAATGAAGACAGATCAGGTATGCTGCCCACTTTTGTTCTCCCATCCTCTTTTAGGCTGCTTCTTAAAGTGCAGGACTTGACAGCCTTTGCTTCTTGGCAGTGTTCTGCTGTTTTTGTTTTTCTATTATTTTTGTACTCCTTTCTGGAAACATGGATTTTTTTTTCAACAGATGTTAGGTCATTAGCACACAAAAAAAAAAAATTCCATAAAAGGATTTGGCTATATAAACGTAAGGCTTCATCTGAGCAACTCCAAACCACAATATATGCAACAATTTACTTGAAAACCCAAGAAACCATTGGTGACAAGACATAATGATGTAGGCGCCAATGAAAGAATGTTGGATACATTTACTACCCCTATGACATGACCAGTTTGAGGGATGATATTTTGCCAGGGTCTGAAACCCTATCAGAGATGCTACAAGATAGATTCTACAGTACTCTACTCTAAGACATGCTGTAACAGTTAAGATTAAAGCAAAGTTTTTGAGTTTAATAGTGTAAACTAAATGAAGAATCATGGCATATAGATGAGAACCAGCTGGAGACCTTTCCCCCCCACTGACAAAAAGTGCATGCAGTGTTGTTTTTCACTTTCTAAATCAGATTAAGCCTCTTCTGTTTCTCTTTTTGTGATGAACAAAAATGAATTGATGAGAATAATACTTTAGTGTGGAGCTATGAAAAGTTTTTTATGCTTTCATCTGATGCTTTAATTGTGCTTTCATTAATATTGTTGAATCTAAAACATTTACAGCAGAAACCTGAGACCTGAAATTCATGGGAAGATGGACCATGCCAGACTTTGGCAACCCTTATTTCTGTAGTTCCTTTCACATAGTTGTAAATTACCATGGTTTGTAGATAAATTGAAGCTTTCTAATAGCTGCTTCTCTTGCCAGAATCCTTAGTCACAGTCCTTATGGCAGCTGGACTTGAAAATAAAGGGAAGTAAAGCCTAACTTACTTCTCTGCTCAGATTGTGACCGGCTGCAGTGGGGAGGGCAAGGTTTACTCAGATAATACTTTCTGCTGCAAACAAGTGGGTGGGGAAGGGGCGGGGAATGGGATGTAAACTATAATGATCTTGGGGTTCATTAAACAACAAACCAGTGAATGAGAAAGGAATAAAACTTCTAATAAAACAAACTAGAGAACTTCCGTGATGAATTGCTTTACACAGCTACATTGTGTTCTCAACCCCAGCTTCCAGGACACCTCTCTAAACTATTATATTTATAATACTGTCCCTTATGAGGGAGCGTCGCTAAATTATAATCTTCCACACACATATCTCTACATAAACAGCTCCACAAAAGGGGGATAAAGCAAGAGAGAGCAGGATAGGAATTGCAATAAAGTCACAATTCATTCTCTAGTCTCCTCCCAGCCAGAATGGTCTGCTCAGCTCTCTTTGAAGAAATAATATTTCTTTTTATTTGCAGAGAGAGCCTTGCAAACGTAAACCTATATAAACCAATAACAAGGTTGGAATATTTGTTACGCTTGATTCTTCTTAGAGACCCTGGGATATTCACAGCCTGCTGTGCAGCTGAATTGTTAACTAAGTTCCATCTGTGAAGTCCCTTTTGCTGTCAGTTGTCTTCCAGTGATGCCCACTGAGTTACTTCTTTACACACCAGTTGCCTTGAATGGGGTTGGATAGATGCAACTACAGGCATTTCTGGAAGACAGATGGTAGCACCACGGGACCCCTACCAATGGAAATTAACTAAGAGTTCTGTTGAAGATGCTTGATCCACAAAAGAATACAATTTACTTTCTCAGAGCTGGTAACCATTTCAGTCCTAATGGTTCTGTAGGACTGAAAATAGCATGACCTTATTTTTTTCATTAAAAGTATAATGGAATATAGGCAGGGAGCAGAACTGTTGAGTGAGAAGATATCATTCCATGTCCTTGATGGGCATAAATAGGTATAACTCCATTGAAGTATCAGTAGAGCAACATCAGTTGATATCAGCTGAGGTCATTTTTACATAGTTGCCTTTGAGAGAGAAACCTTAACTTTTCTTCCTTAATTTCCCTATTAGGAAATAGAGATAATAATTACCTGTTTTCAAAAAGAGTTGGGATAAAAAATTAGTCCGTGACTGAATAGCACTAAATAAGTGCCAAACTTTAGGATACATACACACATCACCGTCATACAGGGGCATACTAGCTCCTAGAGTCCTGGCTTAAGTGGACAATTATTGCAAAACTTTAAAAAATGTTAGCAGTTATGTATGGACCCCAGAACAAGTATTTGGGTTCATCCTCTCTTGCAGCAGGAGACTACAAGTCCCATCTATTCTCCTTCACACACAGGTTCACCATTCAAACAATGAGGTTGTCCTGTTATTGCAGCTCAGGAGGCAAAACCAGGCCTGTTATGTATGGGAAAATGGCTTGACTCCACTCACTGGGAAAAACCCAGGTTTTATTCTGTTCTACAGTGGTCTCCTGTCCTTCTGACTTCCTGATCTGCAGATTATAGGAAAACTATTAATCTCTCCAAGAGTTATTTATTATGTATTATTTCCATATAAAGAGAAAATATGTCCAACCCCTACAGAAGATGGTAAAAACTGTAAATGAAGAAAACCTGATATGTCTGCACTCCATTGACAATTTAAATTATAATTATATACAGAACAACTGTGCAGTATTAGGAGAAGTGTCGGGGCTCCCCTGAGACCTCTTCCATTCAGTTCCCCCAAAACTCAGTTCAACTCCAATCTCATCACTCGGGTTCCTTTCTTTGGTAAACAGTAAAGCTACACTTAGTTGATTAGTCTCAAACGCAGGAGGTGGAAGCACACAGGATATGTGTCAGATTCAAATTACACAGAAAACCTGTTCCTTTAGATACATTTACACACACAGCACATTAATATACATTTCATCACATGCTTCATGATTGGCTTGGTTACTTTTTATGAACCAATCCCAGTACAGCAAGCTCTGTCAATGTGCTGTTCATGCATAATCTGAACTCTACCTTATTTTACATTTAGGCTTGTTTACTAATACCAGAATGTTCCTGCTGATCTGAGCTAGCCATCCTAACTCCAGCATACTGCTTGTGATAAGAACTTAACTTTCCATTCATCTTCCCAATCATGCCCAATAAGAAATGAGGCAAGTTACTTATGTCAAGCCAGGTCTACTAGAAGGTGGTCCAGCTCTCCACCTCAAAATCTCATTACTTACTAGGCTAGCAAAATAATAGCCACTCTGCACTCAAGACTTTTCCTCTACCTCAGTAGTGGTGCTTTGGGTTAGGTGTACTGCAGAAAAAATAAACTGTGCCACTTTTTTTGCCTCCAGCTGTGGGTTTGAATCGGTTTTTTGGTTGTTTTTTCTTTTCTATTTTAGTTCAGCAAGCTCAATCAAGGGGTCAAGAATCCAGAAAAATATAGATTCATTTTTTTAATATAAAATAAAAATGTAAGATATGTGTACAGCAATGTCACTGCAAGACAATTTGAACTGAATTGTATCACCAGAACCTCTTGATGAGACTAAAATCTTGTATTACATCATTGCTAATCTGTTATTCATGGTGTAAGAATGGGGTTTAGTCAATACCGTTTTCTTCACCCATTTCATCTAAATGTTTAAATAATGTGGTGGTAACATGAGAAAGTGTTTGGTTATATTGATTTTAAATTGCTCTAAATACCTTTAATCCTAGGAAAACATAACATTATTTACCAATCAGCATGCTTTCTCATGGATTCCACCCAAACTTTTCAACAGATTTTTTTTTTTTGTCCTTATTGCCTGACTGCTGCTCCTTCAGGGCCCGTGGTCATCTGGATTTCATTTCTTATTTTCAAAAATCCAATAATGCATGTTTTTTTTTCTCACTGTCCATTCTTTTGGTCAACAAGGGGCCAAAGGGTCTGAGAGAAGAATCCCCTCCAGCTGGATTTTCCCCTCTGGTGTAAAAGGGTTGGATCTATCACCTCCATGGCATCTTCTGGCCCTATTGTCTCCTGAAGGTCAAGGATCTGTGCCTAAGGGGAAATGCATTCCTTAGTCTCTCACCTTCTCCCACACCCTGCACAAATTAACAGAGTTAATGCAAAGTGAGGGCATTATCTTTTCTGTGACCCTCTTACCAGCAGGGAGTTACTGTTTAATGGGCACATTGCTGGAACTGTGGAGTCTAAGAGAAACCTAGCAGTTCAGTAAAGCTGCAGGGGGCCCCACAGTCAGTCAGGGGTTCCAGATCCCTGGGTTTCCACGGGATTTAAGGGGGAAAGCACATCCCGTTCTGTGGGGAAAAGGGTATGAGGTAAGTTCTGGTCCATCCAGTTCTCCTTCATGACACAAAATGATTCAGGCAGAACTCGGGGGTATGTCTATACTGCAGCTGAGAGTGAGCATCCAGTGTGAGTAGACAGACTTGCACTAGCGGGGCTCAAGCTAGATCACTAAAAATAGGTGTGTGTACATTGTGGCTTGGGCGGCAGACCCCCGTAGGCTTGAGCTTGGGTGGCTAGCAGGAGTCTCTGCCAGAGCTCCAACGTCCACAATACGATAAGGGTTTTCTGTCGCATCCCACCACATGGAAGGGCTGTTCATGGCCGGAGTAATTAGATCCAAGGACCTTTATGGCCCTATTTATACCAACTAGAGTTAAAGGAATCAATTTAAACACAATTCCAGATAGTTCCGTTTCTGACATGGTGTTGCTAGCCCATAGGTCACTTGATTTCCAGTGTTTTCTAACCAAGAATGATTTACTGGAGCAGAAATTGGCTCTTGTTGCTTTTGTTGTTCAGTATGAAATTGCTTGCTTGCTTTCTCATCTACCTGGGGAGACAGGGAGATTTGATAAGGCCGTTGCGGCTAACAATTCATGACATCTGTGCCCAACCAGCTTCACTGAGCTAGTTGATTGCACTAAGGTGTATTCTGTTAGCTGAGATGACTTTGTGATGTTGTTAAATGGGTGTCTAGAATGAGAACAGCATCCTACTTGAGATCTTTATTCACTTAA